CATACATAGAATCTAGCTTAGTCCTATCAACAACCCCAAAAGTAGATGTCGCAGTTATTGCCATGCTTTACATGGAGGTCGATGGGATTTGTCCACACTTGGATTGTGCTGGGTATGCATTTTAGTCCAGGATATCTGTTTTTTGAGCTTACAACTACATCCTACCCATCAAAAACAAAACAAAACCCCATATTCCATGTATATACTCAATTGCTTACTGCACAGCTCTGCTTGGTCCCCTTGTAAGCATTTCAAACTCAGGATGGCCCAGAGTAAACTCACAGTTCCTTCAACTTACTGGGCGTCAGGTGCTGCTCTGGGTGCCGAATCTACCAATGTAACCTAAACAGTCTCTGACTTCATGAAATTTACTGTCTAGCTGGGGAGACAAAGAGTAAAACGAGCAGCATCTGTTGTGATCAGCACTGTAAAGAAAAATGAAGCAGAGTAAGTAGATGGAGAGAGACGGAGGGGGCCATGTGGTAGGAAGAATAATTGCCCCACAAAGATGTTGACCTCACCCACTAAACTCTAGAAGTGGCAAATATGTTTCACTATATGGGAAAAAGGGATTTTGCAGATGTGATTAAAGTTAAGGACCTTTAGATGGGTAGATTATCCAAGATTATGTAAATGGACCTAGTAAAACTACAGGTCCTAGTAAAATCACAGGTGAAAGAGGAAGACAGAATCATGAGTCAGAGAAATGTGACAATGACAATGGAAGAAGAGTCAGGAGAGATTCGAAGTGTGAGAAGGACTCAACCCACTATTGTTGGCTTTGAAGATGGAGGAAAGAGCCAGGATAAGGAATGTAGCAGTCCATAGAGGTTAGAAATGGCCTTCGTTTACAAGAAGCAGGAAAATGGGGACATCAGTCATACATCCACAAAGAACTAAAGTCTGACAACTTGAATGAATAGAAAACAGCTTCTCCCCCAGAGTCTCCAGAAAGAAACACAGCCTTGTCAGTACCTTGATGCTAGCCTGGCAAACCTGCACCCACTGACCTATACAACAAGCTAATAAATGTGTGTGTGTGTGTGTGTGTGTGTGTGTGTGTGTGTGTGTTTTAAGACTTTATTTATTTGACAGAGAGAGCACAGAGGGAGAGGGAGTGGGACAAATAGACTCCCTGCAGAGCAGATGCAGGGCTCAATTCCAGGACCCTGAGATCATGAACTGATCCGAAGGGAGAAGCTTAACCGACTGAGCCACCCATGCACCCAAATTTGTGTTGTTTTAAGGCACTAAATTCTGGTGATTTGTTATGGCAGCAATAGAAAACAAATGCAGGCTATTTTAAGTAGAGTGGTCAGGGAAAACCACTCTAGGCAGAGCCCTGCCGAGAACCCCGGGCGAGGGGAGGGAGACTTACTGGGCCAAAACGAATGACCCTGGAGTGAGACGACCTTAGAATATCTGAGGAACAGCAAAGAGACCGATGTGTCTGGAATAAAGGGAAAGAAGCAGGAGCTGAGATGGCAGGAGAGGCCAGGGGTCAGCACATGTGAAGCTCTGTGGGTCACAGAGATTTGGATTATATTCTAAGCATGATGGGAAGGCGCTTTGGCAGAGGAGGGACACAGGCTGACTTCTACCTTTAAAAAGCTGCCTGTGGGTATTGTAATGACAGTGTACTGATAGAGCAAGAGGAGAAGCAAGGAAGTTCACTGAGGGAGCATTTTTTTATTGCTATTCAACAATCTAAATAGGAGAAGAAGACAGCTTGGACTCAGGTGGAAGAGGAAAAGGCATGAGAAGTGATCACATCGAGGATATATGTGAAAGTTAGAGTCCACTGTATTTTCTGATGGTGAGGAAGTAGAGTGGCAAAGAGAAGTCAGAGGAGAAACTGAGCACAAGGTGGTGCCAGCTACTGAGATGCGACTAATCACAGAAGAAAGTTGGGGGGATCATGAGCTAGCTTTTGGACATGTTGAGTTCTGGATGCTAATTAGCTGTTCAAGTCACAATGTCAGATAACTGTTAGGTACCAGCGTCTGAAGACAGGGGAAGGGAGGGAAAACTGGGAAGAAATCAGAGAGGGAGAAAAACCATGAGAGACCCCTAAGTATAGGAAACAACCTGAGAGCTGCTGGAGGGGAGGTGAGTGGGAGGGATGGGGTAACTGTGGTCATTAAGGAGGGCACGTGATGTGATGAGCACTGGGTGTTACACAACTGATAAATTATTGAACACTACATCTGAAGCTAATGATGTACTATATATTGGCTAATTGAATTTAAATAATAAAAAAATGAAGTTCAGGGGCAATTTGGGCTAGAGGCATGTGGTATACAGAATAATGCCCTCCACCCTGAAGATGTTGATGTCCTGATCCCCAGAACCTGTGAGTATCTTATACTACATGCCAAGGGGGGATTAAAGCAGCCGACCAGCCTATTTTAAAACAAAAAGATATCCTGGATTATTTGGGTGGGTCCAAGGTAATCAAAAGTGTTCTTAAGGGATGCCTAAGTGGCTCAGTCTGTTAAGCATCTGCCCTCAGCTCAGGTCATGACCTTGGAGTCCTGGGATAGAGCCCCACATCAGGCTCCCGGGTCAGAGCGGAGCCTGCTTTTTCCTCTACCTCCGCACACCCACCCACCCCAGGCTCTCTGTTGCTCTCTTTTTCAAATAAATAAATAAAATCTTAAAAAAAAAAAGGCATTCTTAAATAGGATGAGAGAGGCAGAGGACTCAGAACCATAGAGAAAGCATCATGATAGATTTGAATGACCAGTATTGGCTTTGAAGAACGTGGAACGGACCACAAGACAAGGAATGCTGGAAGCCTCTAGAAACTGAAAAAGACAAAGAAAGAAATTCCTCCTGATAGCCTCCAGAAAGGAACACAGAGCTGATAACACCTAGATTTTAGCCCCGTGAGACTCATTTCTGACTTCTGATCTTACAGAACTGTAAAATAATAAACTTTGATTTTTTTTTTTTAAATCTTTCATTTATTTTTCTTACACAGAGAGAGAGAGACCACAAGAGGAAGTAGCAGAGGGAGAGCGAGAAACAGACTCCTTGCCAAGCAGGGAGCCAGATGTGGGACTGGACCTAGGACCCCTGGCTCACGACCTACGCAGAAGGCAGACACTTAACTGACTGAGCCACCCAGGCACCCGGAACATTGATGTTTCAAGTCACTAAGTTCACAGTAGGTAATTTGTTAGAGCAGCAATAGGAAACTAACATAAGTCATAATTTCACTGAAACATGTTTTTTTCTGCAGTGTACTCTATTGGTAAATGGCATAAACATCACCCATCTGTTCAAGGCAGAAACATGTTATCTTTAATTCTCTCCTCACTTTCACGTCCCAATCCAGCCAACATCAAGTTCTCTAGATCCTATGTATAAACATTTACTCAAAGTTACCCACTGTACTATTTCTCTAATACAGCTCATCATCATCAACACCATCTTTCTTTGGGAGGGAAGAAGGAGACAGAACATACCACCACTCTCCATTTAGCAAGCCAGAATAAGCCTTCCAGACTGAGTATTTCTGGTAATTATCCCTCTCTCCTGAAACTCTTCAATGGCTTGCTGTCTCACTCAGAATAAAGCCCAGCCTGTTTGACACGTCTTAGAACATCCTCCAAGGTTTGCCTTGGGTCCCCAGCCTTACTTCCTGACATTCAACCTCACACTAAACTTCAGACCCTAGAAAGCATTTGGAGGCCTCCTCACTTGCCACTGGCCTTCCCTGTCCCATGACCGCCTCATAGAAAAAGCTCCAGTGTTCAACGTCCTTCCCCATTCATCATCAGGGCCCAACTTATTCCCTTTAGATTGTTCCTGATCTACTAAATTGTTAGCACCTTGGTATGAGACCTTGAACATCTGCTTCAAAATACTCATCATAGCAATGAGTGCTGTGCTCCTCTCAAACAGGGCTTTGCCTTACTTGTCCACTACTGCTATCTCCATTCCCAGCATGCAGCATACAGCATACAGAATATTTGCCAAATAATATTTGTCAAATAACAATTGCTCACTAAGGAGCTGAAAATCACTATCTTTAAAATCTCGACAACGGTTCTTGTGTAATTTTTATAACCATTTCTTTTATAAAGTCCTTACTAATAGAATGTTCAGATACTTTTTAAAATGCAATCCTTTTGTGCCTATCACCATTTTTCACATTCTTGACTTGCCCCCTACTCCCACATTGGAAATGGGAAGTAAAAGATAGGTGGGAGAATGAGTTTATTTTAATTTTTCTTACATTTATGTCACTCAACATGTAGCTACTGAGCACCTTTTATATGCCAATCACTAAGCGCTGAGAATACGGGAAGTGAATAAAATACGCATAGTCTCTTTCTAAGGAATTTGCATTCTAGTATGTGTGTAAGGCGAAGGGAAATCAGAAAGTAAACAAACAGAAAATTATATAGAACGTGGACAGTAATAAGTACCAAAGTCAGAAAAGTAGGTAGGCAGGCGGGTGCGTGTGGGTGTGTGTGTTGCATTAATTCTACCCTTAGGGTAATCGGGAAAGCTATTCCAATAAACCTACCCTTAAGCAGGGACCAACAGCAAATGAGGAGTCCCTGCCGGGTCACAGGGAAGCAGGCAAGGCGAGGAATTTCCTTTTTTAAATTCAAACCGCAGCTTTACCAATTCCAAGCTGTATGCAACTAAACAAGTCAAACTAGCCCCTCTGAGTTGGCTTCCTGGCTGTAAAAGGATAATAATAGCGCAGACCTCACAGGCTTGTTATGAGGACTAGCTCAGCAAGCGAGCTAACACAGAACAAGAGCTCTCTCCGGTATTCCAAGCACAGACAGACTCTTGGAAAGCTCTCCGGAAAAGCCCATCCGCCTCACCGCACGAGCACCGCCCCCTGGCACAAGTGCTGGCGGGGATTGGCTACTCTACTCCTCCGTCCCGCCCCCACGGGGGCGTCCGGTCCAATCGCGGCCAGCTTTGTGCCGAGGTACGTTCCCAGGGGCTACCAAGTGGGCGGTCCCCGTGACGTTAGGATGACGCGTTACGTCACGGTGGGCGGAAGTCCCGGCCGCTGTTTTGAAATCAGGCCGCCGGAGTCTTTGAAGCACCTTTCATCCGGGAGGCCGGCGGCAGCCCAGCGCCGGGCGAGGCCCCTGACGCTTACTCTCAGGCTCCGCTGGCCTAAGGCCGCAGCGTCGCCATGTCCACCCCTCCGTTGGCGGCGTCGGGAATGGCGCCGGGGCCCTTCGGCGGGCCGCAGGCTCAGCAGGCCGCCCGGGAGGTCAACACGGCGTCTCTCTGCCGAATCGGGCAGGAGACGGTGCAGGACATCGTGTACCGCACCATGGAGATCTTCCAGCTCCTAAGGAACATGCAGGTGGGAAGGAAGGCGCGCGCGTTCCTGGCTGTGCGTGGAGAGAGCGGGATGCTTCTGGTTCAGTGGTTACGTGGGTCCCCTGGGCGCCCGCGGGGTTGTTCTGGGCAAAACTTAATTATAGGATCGCCTCATTTGCATTCAGAAGTGTTCCCCAGTGATGCGCCTGTCCCCACGATCTGTGATGTAAAGGTGTTTTCCAGAGAGGACTTCTCCAAGACTGAGGCCTCATTTTTTACATTCTCCCGGATTCTCTAGCTCCTAGGCAAACTCTTGTACCTTTCAGGGTAAAGGTGGGTTTCTCACCATTTAACCTCATTAGACTGCCTTAGCTTTCATCTTGTTCTCAAGCAAAATAGTTTCTGAGGGTCTCAGGATTCTGAAGAATTCAGATTCTGCTAATTTTTTTCTGCTAACATTTTTATTTCGGTATAAATGACATACAATTAAATATATTTACGTAGTTTTGACATATGTATATACTTAGGAAACCATCATCCACCACCACCACCCCAAAAAGTTTCCGCATGCCCCTTTGAAATCTTTACTTCTGGCCCTTCCATCCGCAGACAACTTCTGATTTGCTTTCTGGCACCATAAGTTCGTTTGTATTTTCTAGAGTTTTGTATAAATAGAATCACACACTATGTAGTTTTTGTTTTGTTTTGTTTTTTGGGTCTGGCTCTTTTGACACAGGATGTATCAGTAGTTCATTCCTCTTGATTGCTGAATAGTGTTCCACTGTGTGACTATGTCACAGTTTCTGTAACTGTTCATCTGTCGATAGGCATTTGGGCTGTGTCCCAATTTTGCAGCCATTATAAATAATGCTATGAATGTCTGCCTAACAAATGTTTGTGTGAACACGTTTCATTTTTCTAGAGTGCACAGATGCCTAGGAGTGGAACTCTTGGGTCATATGGCAAATAACTAACATTTTAAAGAACTTTTCCAAAGTGGTCGCACCATTCTAAATTCCCACCAGCAGTGTTTGAGGGGTCCAGATACTCCTTATCTTGACAACACTTGTTAGTGAATGTCTTTCTGCTTTGCGGATTCCTTCTCCCAGTCTGTGGGTTCTCATTCCCTTCACATGGCCTTTTGAAGAAAAGACATTTTAAATTTTAATGGAATTGAAATTATCGATTTATTCTTTTACAGATTTTACTTTTGGTGTCATACCTAAAAAATCGTTGCCTCACCCAAAGTGACAAACTTCTTCAATTTTTTTCTTCCGGATGTTTTATAGTGTTAGGTCTATAATGCACATTGACTTTATTTTCTTACAGATCCAAGTGCATTTTTTTTGCATTTGGATATCCACTTGTTCCAACACCATTTTGCTTATCTTATTACTTATCTTACTACTATGTGATGTGGATATCATTCTTGTGTTATGAGGGTTCTGCCAGAGAGAGGTACAGTGACTTGTCCAAAGCTACTCCGTGACGGGATAAATTTGAAACCAGGTCTTCAGATGCTTACAACTCTGATTTCAGTGGGTGCACTGTAAAAGTAATTCGGGTGCGTTGAAATCTTAACCGTATAAATATGCCAGTGTGAAACACAATACAAAGGGGATCCAAAGGAAGATATGAAATCTTTAGCAGTCATTTTTTAAATTAATAGATTAATATCTAAAAGTGACTAAAGTAGGATTAAATGATTTTTCAGAATTTAGTAAATATTTATTTTTACCCTGCTATATGCAAAGTACTGAATTAGGACTAGTAGATCTTACCGATAACATTTATCAAGTACTTTCCTTGGTCAGGCACACTGTTGTAAGAATGGTTCTAAGAAGTCTTTTTATCCTCATTTTACAGTTAAGGAAACGGGCTTAAAGAGAGAACTGAAGAGGAAGAAATAAGAGAGACAAACCATATAGACTCTTGACTCTGGGAAACAAACTGAGGGTTGCTGAAAGGGAGGTGTGTGAGGGGATGGGTTAACTCAGTTGGTGAGCATTTAGGAGGGCATGTGATGTGATGAGCACTGGGTGTTATAAGCAACTAATGAATCATTGAACATTATATCAAAAACTAATGATGTACTATACGTTGGCTAACTGAATTTAAATTTTTTTCTATTTAAATTTAGCAATACACATATAACTAGTGGTTCTTCCTACTCTCTTGTTTGGTTTGGTTTGGTTTGGTTTGGTTTAAAGATTTTATTTATTTATTTGACAGAGATCACAAGTAGGCAGAGAGTCAGACAGAGAGAGAGGGAAGCAGGCTCCCTGGTGAGCAGAGAGCCCAATTCGGGGCTCGATCCCAGGACCCTGGGACTATGACCTGAGCCGAAGGCAGAGGCTTTAATACACTGAGCCACCCAGGCACCCCCTTCCTACTCTCTTTTTAATACTAACTTGCTGTCCAACACTTTGTATGATTAACAGAGATATAATAATATTATAATATTATATATAATATACATTTAATATATATTAAATTTATATATTTGTATATTACATATACTATATATAATATATATATATATAAATTTATAAAAGAACCAAACTCTTTCAACAAAGTATTATCAATAAGTTGATTACATGTGGACATATATTCAAAATCAACTTGTAAGGGACTATGGTAGTTACTTCTTTGGGCCTCTTAACATTGTGAATTCTGTGGTTTAACTCATGTAAGACCATTTGAGGCATGTCATTATTGGCTGAAAAAGAACAACAGTGTGAGCCTTCATTTCTTAATACATTTTTAAACTATTAAAAATTTTTAAATTATCTTCTATATTACTCATCCAGAAGGATGAAGTGCCATAAATGCAAACCACTGAGATTATTTCTAAGTGTTTGTTTTAGAGAAATGGTTCTTTATTTATTAGGTCTCCATGAACCTCTTGAGAATTTGATGAAAAGCATAGATTCTCTTCTGAGAAGAATGCCCATGTATATATTCTGAGTAAAATTTGAGGGGGGGAAATTTTGAGAGTGAATTTTATTCAAGGATTGCTAGGTCCCAGGTTAAGATTCCCTGAATAAGAAAATACTGCTTTGGTTTTGTTATCCTTTAAATCTTAAAAAAAAATTAATATATAATCAGAATTCAGAAATTAAAAGGGGAAACATTACAGTGAACTTTATCCCTCCCATCCCTGTCTGCTGGTTGTCTAACCCCTTTCCACAGGCAATGAATGTTAGTGCTTTTTATTACTATTCTTATGTATCCCTTCAGATATTCTATGCACACTTAAGCAAAAGTGCATGTTTGTTCTTTCGTTTTTTTCCCTTTTTGCACCAATAATAGTGTATTATACACAACACTTTGCACCTTCCTTTTTCATTTTGGTTTATTTTGGAGTTTATTCCTATTTGTCCAGAATATATTTCTTTTTCCTTTTAAGGTATATATACAGTAATACACTGAATGGAAATACTGTAATTTATTCAACCAGTTCTCTAGGCATTTGGATTGCTTTTAATCTCTCACTATTAGACTGCAGTGAATAACCTCCTACAGAGTGTGCAATAACCTCCTATAGTGTGCAACTATACCTGTAGGATAAATTCTTAGAAACAACTTTGTGCTTCTGTAATTAGGTAAATTTCGATGAACTGCCCTCCATGGGGGTTGTATCACCCTCTGCTACCATGTCCTAACCAAGACCAACAACCAGGCTCTGACTAATAGAGAGTTATATTTCTGGACCTCGGATCATGTGATAGATGAAAATCTACTTTCCATTTCTTCTAGTTTGAGTGAGTTTGAGCATCTCTTCATATATTTATGAATCATTTATATTTCCTTTTCTGCTAGCTGCTTGTTCATATCTATATAGATAGAAAGATCAATCTTTTTATAAGATTTGGCTATTTCCATATCAGACAAACTTGCTCTATGTGATGGAACTTCCAAGTATTTCTTTTCCCTGGTTTGTTGTTTGCCCTTTGGCCCTGCTTATTTAAGTTCTGCCATACATAAGTATTTTTTAAGGCAGCTGAATTTATCAGTCTCTGAGGACTGTCATGTTCTCTGTCTAGTAAGGAAGGACTTTTCCCATTCCACAATCAGGAAGATTTCTGGGTTTTGTTTCAAGTTTTACATCTAAAACTTAGATCCATATGGAATTTATCCTTCTATAAAGTGTGAGGTATGGCCCCAGCCCTACTTTTTTTTTTTTTTTTAAGATTTTTTATTTATTTATTTATTTGACAGAGAGAGATCACAAGTAGACAGAGAGGCAGGCAGGGGGGGGGGGGGGGGGGGGAAGCAGGCTCCCTGCTGAGCAGAGAACCCGATGAAGGACTCGATCCCAGGACCCTGAGATCATGATCTGAGCCGAAGGCAGTGGCTTAACCCACTGAGCCACCCAGGCGCCCCAGCCCTACTTTTTTTTAAAAGGGTAATTCGCTTTCTTTCCTCCATTGATTTCAGATGCTACTTTATACAAAAGAATCTATTTCTGGATGCTCTATTCCATTTGGCTGCCTGTCTTTTATGTAGTAATCCCAAACATTCTTACATTTATTGTGACTCTGTAATGTGTTCACACTTGTTTCCAAAGTTTCCCTGAATGTCCTTATTTATTTTTCCACCTGTGCTTTAGAATCAGCTTGATTAGTTCTGAGAAAAACCTGTTAGGGTTTTCTTAGGTTGACTGAACCTAGAGAGACTTTACATCAGTGTGATGTTGAGTCTTTTTTTTTTTTTTTTAAGATTTTTATTTATTTATTTGACAGAGAGAGATCACAAGTAGGCAGAGAGGCAGGCAGAGAAAGAGGAAGGGAAGCAGGCTCCCTGCTGAGCAGAGAGCCCGATGCGGGGCTCAATCCCAGGACCCCGGGATCATGACCTGAGCCGAAGGCAGAGGCTTTAACCCACTGACCCACCCAGGTGCCCCAGTGTGATGTTGAGTCTTACTAACCAAGAACACAAATCTTTTTTGTGTCCCTGTGAAGTATTTTAAGTTTTCATCTATATTTATATAGATATTTATATAATAATAATTTATGTAATACCTATTCTCCTGAAGCTGTTTCAAAAAATAGAAACAGAAGGGAAACTTTCAAACTCTTTCTATGAAGCCAGCATTACCCTGATCCCAAAACCAAGCAAAGAGCCCATCAAAAAGTAGAATTTCAGACCAATATCCCTGGTGAATATGGATGCCAAAATTCCCAACAAGATCCTAGCTAATAGGATCCAACAGTACATTAAAAAGATTATCCACCATGACCAGGTGGGATTTATCCCTGGGATGGAAGGGTGGTTCACCATTCACAAATCAATCAATGTGATAGAACTAATCAATAAGAGAAGAGAGAAGAACCACATGGTCCGCTGATTGATGCAGAAAAAGCATTTGACAAAATACAGCATCTGTTCTGATTAAAACTCTTCAAAGTATAGGGATAGACGGAACATTCCTCAACTTCATAAAATCTATCTATGAAAAACCCACAGCGAATATCATTCTCAGTGGGGAAAACCTGACAGCTTTCCCACTGAGATCAGGAACATGTCAAGGATGCCCACTCTTGCCATTATTTTTCAACATAGTACTTCTAGTACTAGGAGTCCTAGCAACAAAAATCAGACAACAAAAAGAAATAAAAGGTATTCAGATTGGCAAAGAAGAAGTCAAACTCTTTCTCTTCACAGATAACATGATACTTTATATGGAAAACCCAAGGACTTGACCCCCAAACTACTAGAACTCATAAAGCAATTCAGTAATGTGGCAGGATACAAAATCAATGCACAGAAATCAGTTGCTTTCTTATACACTAACAATGAAAATACAGAAAGGGAAATTAGAGAGTAAGTTCCATTTACTATAGCACCAAGAACCGTAAGATACCTGGGAATAAACCTAACCAAAGAGGTAAAGGATCTGTACTCGAGGAACTACGGAACACTCATGAAAGAAATTGAAGAAGACACAAAAAGATGGAAAAGCATTCCTTGCTCATGGCTCGGAAGAATAAACATTGTTAAAATGTCTATACGACAGAGCATTCTATACTTTTAATGCCATCCCAATCAAAATTCCATCAGCATTTTTCAAAGTGGTGGAACAAACAATCCTAAAATGCATATAGAACCAGAAAAGACCCCTAATTGCTAAGGAAGGGTTGAAAAAGAAAAACAAAACAAAACAAAACAAAAACCAAAGCTAGGGGCATCACGTTGCCTGATTTCAAGCTTTACTACAAAGCTGTGATCATCAAGACAGCATGGTACTGGCACAAAAACAGACACATAGACCAATGGAACAGAGTAGAGAGTCCAGAGATGGACCCTCAACTCTATGGCCAAATAATCTTCCCAACAAAGCAGGAAAAAATACATAGTGGAAAAAAGGCAGTCTCTTCGGTAAATGGTGCTGGGAAAACTGGACAGCTATATATAGAATGAAACTCAACCATTCTCTTACACCATATGCAAAGATAAACTTGAAATGGATAAAAGACCTCAGTGTGAGACAGGAATCCATCAAAATCCTGGAGGAGAACATAGGCAGTAACCACTTCCACATCAGCCATAGCAACTTCTTTCAAGTTAGGTCTCCAAAACCAAAGGAAACAAAAGCAAAAATGAACTTTTGGAACTTCATCAAGATCAAAATCTTCTGCACAGCAAAGGAAATAGTCAATAAAACAAAGAGGAAACCCACAGAATGGGAAAAGATATTCAGGAATGACACTACAGACAAGGGGCTGATATCCAAGATCTATATTTTGAAACGTTTAAAGTCTACTAGATATTTTATCTTTATTGCTGCTTTTGTAAATGGCATCTTTTTCCTTTCTCGTTTTCATTTGTTTCCATATTTGAACACAAAGCTGTTTTCTCTGTATCAAATTTGTAGCCTCTCTTGACTACCTTTGTTGATAATAGCACCTTATCATATCATATCCATAAATAGTGATTATTATACTACTTCCTTTTTAATGTTTCAGCTTTTTCTTTTTTTTCTAATTGCTTTGGCCACTGCCTTCAGAACAGTGTTCACTAGTAGTATTAGTGGTCTTCGTAGACTTCCTGTTCCATTCCTGACTTCAGTGAGGATGCTTTTACTGTTTCCACATTAATCATGGTGCTGACTTTTTAACTGAGATAAATGTATTTTTTAGTGCTGAGGGATTTTTATTCAGTATTTTCTATTTAAGACTGGATATTGAATTTTAGCCTTTTGGTGTCAAGGGGTGTGATCATATATATACAGATCTTTATTAGGATTCAAGAGTAAGATGATTATTGATGAGCTTTTCAGCTAAACATGTATACTGTGGGTTTATATCAGGAGATCTTAGGCACTATTATAACTTATATTCTGAGAGGTACCTTGTCTCCCTCATGTTCATTACTGTGCTATAGCTTCTAGATCAGGGAATTTGGAAATGATAAAAAAGAAGAAAATAATTATTCAAGCTGATCTCCCTGTTATATCTCCTATCAACTATATGTAGGCCTTCCCCGTCTTTTTTTTTTTTCATGTTTACGGTTTATCTACTTGTAATGATAGTGTTTCCTGTTTCCTTTTTTTTCCAAGTACTCTACCATGCACCTTTGTTCACATTCCTACCCCATCTGTTTACAAAAAAAAGAGTAAACTGAAGTTTAGAAAAACAGGCTGATCTTCTAGCTATTGGATAGTAGTTAGTGTCTTGGTTTTAAGGCACTTTAATCCTCCAGTTAAGAATATGAGTGAATGGCATCAGGGAAATACAAATCAAAACCACAATGAGATATCACCTCACACCAGTCAGAATGGCTAAAATTAACAAGTCAGGGAATGACAGATGCTGGTGAGGATGTGGAGAAAGGGGAACCCCCCTACAGTGTTGGTGGGAATGTAAGCTGGTGCAACCACTCTGGAAAACAGCATGGAGGTTCCTCAAAAAGTTGAAAATAGAGCTACCCTACGACCTAGCAATTGCACTACTGGGTATTTACCCTAAAGATACAAACGTAGTGATCTGAAGTGGCACATGTACCCAAATGTTTATAGCAGCAATGTCCACAATAGCCAAACTATGGAAAGAACCTAGATGTCCATCAACAGATGAATGGATAAAGAAGATGTGGTATATATATACAATGGAATACTATGCAGCCATTGAAAGAAATGAAATCTTGCCATTTGTGACGACATGGATGGAACTAGAGGGTATTATGCTTAGCGAAATAAGTCAATCAGAGAAAGACAATTATCATATGATCTCCCTGATATGAGGAAGCTGAGAGGCAACGTTGGGGGTTTGGTAAAGGAATAAATGAAACAAGATGGGATTGGGAGGGAGACAAACCATAAGAGATTCTTAATCTCACAAAACAAACAGAGGGTTGCTAGGGGGAGCGGGGTAGGGAGAGGGTGGTGGGGTTATGGACATTGGGGAAGGTATGTGCTATGGTGAGTGCTGTGAAGTATAAACCTAGCGATTCACAGACCCATACCCTTGGGGCTAATAATACATTATATGTTAATAAAAAAATAAAAGCACATAGTCTCTTCAATGTCTATAACCCCAGCATCCTCTCCCTACCCCCACCCCACCCGGCAACCCTCAGTTTGTTTTCTGAGATTAAGAGTCTCTTATGGTTTGTCATATGGTGTTATTTTTAAAGTTATAATTACTTCAAAAATTAGAAGGGAAAGTATTTCGACTGGTCGGAGAGGCCTATTGTGAAGTTTTTTCTGGGGCTATCTTACAGCACCGAAACACTACACAAAAGAGCTAACAAATGACTGAGTATTACTCTTAAATCCTTCAAAAATTACTCTTGATTAATTGTAAAGAACAGTTTGCTTTTACGCAGTACTTAAAAAGAATTTCTGCTTTGCTAGCTTTTACTTCTAGAAAATCTTGATTGTCGTTACTTCGTATTTTTCTTGTTTTTGTTTTGCCTGATCAGCTGCCAAATGGTGTCACTTACCATACTGGAACGTATCAAGACCGGCTAGCAAAGCTCCAAGACCATCTTCGCCAACTTTCTATTCTCTTCAGGAAGCTGAGACTGGTCTATGACAAATGCAACGAAAACTGTGGAGGGATGGATCCCATCCCAGTGGAGGCAAGTTGTAGTGGGAGAGGGAGGGTGAATGTAAGATGCCAGACATTTGTAATTTTTTCCTTTTTCTCCTTCTCTTTTCACAATATTTTCAGATTTTGATGTATATTGGTTATTTACTTTTGATGAGAGAAGAGGAAACTATGATATATATGCATAGAATTAGTACTATCTTGTCACATTACTACTTTGTAGATTTGAACATCCAACCCTGTAGTGAATTTTTGTTGTAGGGAGGAAAGAGAGGTCTATTGCAGTTTTTATTATTGCTGCCAGGGTCTAATTAATTAAACCAGTGCATGATTTTTTTTTTTTTTTAGTAAGAGTTTTAATAGCATTGTAAAATACTCTTAAAATGGTTTTCAAGAAGTTCTCTACAGATGAAATACTATGTTTTCATCATTATTAATTTAGACTAGCTTGGTGGAATCACTTTTGTTTGAAAATATATTTCTTAAACTTAATCTTGGGTTTACAGACATGTTTTAGTTCACTAGGTATATAATATTTTTAATAGGTGGCCCTTTCCTGTTGACAAGTTCTGTCTCTGCCCACAAAAGTAGCAGGGAAGGTTTGGATGTTCTCTCACTACAAATGGAGGACAATTTCAAGTGACAAGTGCTTCCGTTCTGCGTGATCAGCATGTAAGGGATGTACAGAGGAAAGAATAAACTGCAAAATGGCCTGAAAAGTGGTCAAAGATACAGGAGAAAGATAAAAAATGTGGGCGACATTGTCAGATGCTGGAGAGGACGCAAGGAAAAAAGGAATGAAAATTGTCCAGTAGATTTTACTAGAGGAAAATTGTTGGTATATATAAGCAGAACTTTGTTGAAATGTTTGTTAGCAACAAGAAGTTAGGTTGCAATGGGTTGAAGATTACACAGCAAGGAACTGGAGCTAACAAGTGGATATCCATCTTTCAAAAAGCTTTCATAAAGAGAGGAAAACAGTAGATGGAAGGAGGGTTGGTGTCAAGGGTTTTGGGGAAAGGAAAGGAAAAAAAGGGGAAAAGGAGAAAAAAGTTTAAATGAGAAACCAGAAGTGTTTAGATTATACAGGAAGAAAATAGTGGGGAGACGTTGGGGGCAAGAAGATAAATATTTAAGACAGGAGGATGAAGAAATCAGAACACGGGAATGGAAATTAATCATCTTCAGGAGGGAGGATAGCTCTGCATCGACAGGAAGAAAGTGTGGTTGTGATGTGGACAAGTTTGTATTTGTCCCAAGAATTTGAAGAGGTTTGGCCGGATGACTCCTGCGTGTACCATTTGTTTACCTCTGGCCTGTTCCTGCACTGTCGATAAAAGATGGTAGAGACCAGATGATTCCTGAAATCTCTCTAACATTTGAGGGGCTTCAAATAAACCTTATCATAAACCATACATATTTCATTATAATTCTGCTAGATGTTCCATTGCTATATAAATTTTTTTCTCCTACAAAAAACTTTCTCCCAACTAAAAGAAGTTAAGACCTCTTAACTTAGAAATTTGCATGAACACTGAGGTTCTAGATAGCAAAGTAAGTGACATTTATATAATGCACATCCGTGAAGTTCTTTTCTTTCTAGTATAGATGAAAAGAAAAACCTGTTCTATCAATGGACTGTAAGTTTTTTAGGGGCAAGTATCACATCTCATCATTTTTGCTGTATCTCACCCAGTATCTGAAAATTAAATATTTGCTGATTAAGTGGATAGGATATTACTTAACTGCATGTAACAACTAATGTTACAAGATCTGTTTTGCAAAAGAAACTTGAAAATAATGTACAGTAGGTACTGAAATGATAAACTTGTAATGCTGTTATTTTAGGCCATCACCTGAATTACAATACATTTATATACTACTAAAAGAAAAGGATAAAAATTAACCTTAATCAGAGAGACTTTGTATACCAGTGTAATTGGAAACTTAGCATCATGTTTCTAACTTTAAGTCTTGTCTGTCACTCCCAGCAACTAATTCCGTATGTGGAAGAAGATGGCTCAAAGAATGACGATCGGGCTGGCCCACCTCGTTTTGCTAGTGAAGAGAGGCGAGAAATTGCTGAAGTAAATAAAGTGAGTTATTAGCCTGTGTATTTTATATTTCAGAATTATAGATAAAAATTACTAGGGAAACTGTGTAATTCAAAGACATAGTTTGGATTCTAGAATTACACGAAGTTGTTTCTGTGGCAAATGTAACCTAGTTAGAGTATAACCAAGAACTAAAAAGGTAAGCAGAAATGCTGCTTGAATAATCAAAAGAGAGATCGTAGAATCATGCCATAAAACTCTTAGCAAAGCTTCAGAGGCACTCAGACACAACTCATTTACTTTTTTCTTTTTCTAGGCAGAATTCTACCTTTCTAGCTTATAGCATATTTGGAGCAGCAAATGATAAAAATTTACAAATAGAAAGTGTGGATATCTCAACACCTGAATAAGAAATTGAGAGTTATCAAAGCATTAGCCAACACCACCCCTCCATCTTGCCAAAGTTCCTAACTTGAATGTATTTATTATAAATACTTTTGGAAATTTAGTAGATAATATTCAGAGAGTTCTCGTGAAACAAAGAGATATAAGGAAAGTTATCAGTTCATTCTATGGAAATATGGCCCACGCTTACCAAAACCTAACAAAGAGCACAATAAATTAAACTACCAGTCTCACTAACTCACTTACAAATACACACCCTTCTGCCACTGCTTTGATCCTGAAATTCTTTTTTTTTCTTCAAGATTTTTTTTTTTTCAAGATTTTATTTATTTGACAGAGATCACAAGTAGGCAGAGACACAGGCAGAGAGAGAGGAGGAAGCAGGCTCCCCGCTGAGCAGAGAGCCCAATGTGGGGCTTGATCCCAGGACCCTGGGATCATGACCCCAGCCGAAGGCAGAGGCTTTAACCCACTGAGCCACCCAAGCGCCCCGATCCTGATATTCTTAATTCTAGTTAATAGAATTCATCAGGGTATTAACAGTTAATCCAGGGCAGCTGAAAAGGGTTTTTGGAGGTAGATGAGGATAATTTAGTTTACGTATAATGCGTAATGTTAGTAGATCAAATTGGAAAAAAATTTTTTTCTCAGATCTAGAAGACATTTGATAGCATTCAACTGTTACTGATTCAAAGAACACTTAAAACTATTAGTCTTTAAAGAAACTTATTTCAGATAAATAGGCAACATTTTCATACAGGTGAAATAAAGAACTAGTTCTGTTAAAAATGGGCCTAAAATAAGATGCCTTACACCACTGTTTATTATTACTTTAGAAGCTGTAGTCAGAACAAAAAGACAGGAAATGGAAACAAACTTTGGGAAACAGGAGTTATAGTATTATTCACAAGCTTGTTAAATTTGTACATAATATTAGAACTCAAGCTGGTTTAAGCTCAAAGAAAATTGATTAACTAGAATCATTTAGAATTTGACAAAAGGGCTTGATATGAATGATACCACTTTCTTTATAATGCTGTAAACCAATTAGATTATAAGATGCTATTCACAATTGCAACAACAAATATTAAATAGGAATTATCAATGATATATGTGAACTTATTATGATACATAAAAGAACTTTTGAATAATTAAAAGAACACATAAAGTTTTTGTGTGGGCAATAAATATTCTAAAAATGCCAGTCTTGAATCTGAATTCTCTTGAAAGTACACAAAATAATAAGATTTTAATGCAATACCAATGAAAAAACAAATCCAAACTGGAATTTTTATGAGTGTGAAACATACTAAAATATCAAAGAAAATGCTCATGAGAGTAATAAAACAGAACCCTTTGCTTCAAAAATTAAAACATGTGGAGAATATTATAAAAAGCAATAATTATGAAATAATGGTATAAGAATAGACAGATTAGTAAAATAATAGCCAGAAAAATAGTCTTCCTCTTGCATATGAGAATTTATTATGTCCAAAGAGAGACTGTGTGGAAAATTTGTCTTTAAAAATGAAACTCTGTGGGGCGCCTGGGTGGCTCAGTGGGTTAAAGCCTCTGCCTTCGGCTCAGGTTATGATCCCAGGGTCCTGGGATGGAGCCCCACATTGGGCTCTCTGCTCAGCAGGGAGCCTGCTTCCTCCTCTCTCTCTGCCTGCCTCTCTGCCTACTTGTGATCTCTGTCTGTCAAATAAATAAATAAAATCTTTAAAAAAAAAATGAAACTCTGGGAGGATATTATCAAGCTTTTATATTATACCCTATGTCAAAATTAATTCAGAGTTGAAAATAGACCTGAAAAACAAAATACTGGAAAATTAAGAGGAAAAAATGTATATCAAAACACAGGAGAAAGGAAAAAGCTGGATTTTAGAAAATTTTCATTTTTTTCGTAAAAGGAAAAAATACAAAATAAGACTATTTCAAGCAAATTTGACAGTAGTGAATGAGCATAAAGAACTTACAGTAAGAAATCTGTAGGAAATGAGAAGGGAATTGGGAACTTTTATGTCTTGAAGAATAAATGGTGTTCGGTAGTCTAGAGAATGAGGCCTTCATTTCTTTTAAGTGTTATAGGTTTCTGTTGATAATTTATGCATTAATTCACAATAGATGTACTCTGTTATTTTTCTCTGTAATAAGGATATTTTGTATAAGACACAGTGAAATATGTATATAAATAAAACTGTTATAGTGGTAATTTTGACTTCAGAGCATGTGACATAGTTCTCTATCATAGAAGATTTTATGCTATTTTAGGGGAAAAAGTCTGTGTAAATTAAGAAAGATAAAATTTTTCTAAATATATGTTTCATTTCACCTTTTATTTCTCTGAGTTTTTCTTTTTTTTTCCAGTTTGATGTCTTAGAAATAACTATTTTCTTTAAAAGATCTTTCATAGAATCAGAATAGAACAATACTTTGAGAGTGTATAATAAAAAAAAATCCCATTAGCTATTGATTTAGAATTTTGTGAAGGGTAAAATTGGGTATAAGGGAAGGGTATAATTGATTCAAAGGATAAGATGTATAAAAAAATTTCTTTCCCCACTTGAGGATTTAGCTTTCTTTAAGTCTCTCTCTCCTGGACCCACCATATACTTTCCTTTCCCCCCATCTTTTCAATACAGTTATATCATAATTGGGGTTCAATAAATATTCTGTTTGTATTATTAAGGCACATAAATATTGTTTATTACTTAGCCACATAGTAAACTAGGGTCACATTTCCTTGAACAATTTTTTGTCCTCCTGGAGTTAATAATTTCTGTAATTTTTAAAAAAAAATTTTGGTTCTTTATGCATCTGGGATAGCATCTCAGTGCTTTCTTCTGACTTTTCCACAGAGTCAAAATTATCAGGCAATTTAGTCTCCCTAGACTTCCATCTTCTCACTAGGTCTGATTAAGTGCTCTCTAGGTGTGCTGTTCAGCACCGTCCTGGGGTTTCCTTCACCCCTTCTGTTGGCTTCACTGTTTCCTAGGCCTCTTATCTTCCTCTTTCTTGGTTTGCTGCTTTATTGGTAAAGGACATACATCAGCCTTCTTCAGAAGGAATGTATGGACTTAAATTGTAGTCCTCCCATAGCTGTCCATTTGATAGTTTGGCTGGCTATAAAATTCTATGTTGCAGATTAATTTCCCTCAGAAGTTTGAAGGTGTTCTTCCATAATCTTCTCATATAGGGTTTGGCAAACTTTAAAGGACCAAATAATAAATAGTTTAGGCTTTGTGGGACATATGTGATCTTTGCTGTGATGTAAAAACCATCCTTAGCTCACAGGCCTTACAGAAACAGGTCATGTGCCATAGACTGCAACCACTATCTACTTCATTTTGTTGTCTTTCCAGATGGAGGCTCTAAAAGATCTGATGAACTCTGATGCTTCATCGTGAGCCATTTATATTTAAGAATGAGACACTAGAAAGTGCTAATAATAATAGGCTTTGTGAGTAGACTTAATCATGTTGAGTTTGGGAAGCAAGTTGGCTTTTTGGGGGGGGAGACCCCCAACTATCATTTTCTGAGGGTTGTTTTTTTTTTTTTTTTTTTTTTTTTAAGGCTGTTCGGTTTCTTCAGTAAAGAATCTTCCAGTGCCCTACACAGAGAGATATGTTCTTGTCTTCTTGCCTTCTGCTATGCTGGGGGCACTGAATCCACAGCCATTGTGGTTAGTTTCACAGGAAACAAACCTTTCCTAATCCTTAGAGGTGAGGCAGGGCACAGGGAGAGAGCACTGTCACCTCATGAGGAGTAGGAGTGAGCACCTGGCGCTCTTGCTCATCCCTGGAGCACTTTCAGCTGTTCCTCCAGTTTTTATCCCCAGGCCTCCCTGGTGCTGTTGCCATGGCATCCGTCTTGTCTCCATGGAGGAGCAGCCCTGTTCTCAGCAGTACTGTCCCTGAATCCACCTGGCCTGTAGTGTCCCCCAAGTCATTTACCACTCCCCTTCTACTTTTCCTCTTCAACTACCACCTCACATCTGCTACTGTCTCCTTTCTGATCATTTTTCTCCACATAGGATTATAGGTTTTTCCATTTCTCTCCTGCCGTTTTATTAGGGTTTTGAGAAAAAGAAGAGATAAACACATGTATTTAGTCCACAGTGTTTATCAGCAATAAGTTGATATCAATACACAGAATACATAGACAGTATTTCTGAAGATTTGTCTGTTTACGGAATAAAAGCCCATATTCAGATTTTGTGTTCCCATTTATACTTCAGGCATTTAAGGACTCTTTCTTTGATTAAGTCATTTGAATCTGCTGATTTTGCTGTTACAAGTGCTTCTAAGTTGGGGGTAAAACTTGTTTTAGTTAACATATTGAATTGAAGGTTATTACAAAGAAGAAAGAATCTATTTAGATGTTTTAATTGAACAGACTTAAAGCTTAGCCCTATATTTCTATAGGATTTTTTTCTTTTTTAAGAGAATTTAGGGGTAAAGTATCTTGAGTGGCAGGGGAAGTCCTCATTTGATGGCCTCATAGCTCCCTCTTACTTCCTAGGAACTGTTAATATATTTTGAAACAGGACTAAAAAATTATATAGTAAACAAGAGGTTTTTTTTTTTTTAAAAAAGGAGGGGGGAAGACTAAGATTTGGTTAACACAATCTGAAA